ATTCTTCTGCCACAGCATCTCAAGTGCTGGGGTTCAAGGTATATGTCACTATGTTAGTTAGTCAGTGTTCCCTAGAGAAGAGAACTCGAGTTGTGTGCTCGTAAGTTTTTATAAATTTCACATAAACCTATACATACCTGGGAGACAGACTCTCAACTTAGAAATTGCTTCCATCAGATTGGCCGCTTGTCTACAAGGCATTCTCTTGATTACTAATTGATAGTGGAGGGCATAGCTGGGCTGTGTGGGAAAGGCAAGCTGAGCAAGCCAGTAAACAATGTTCTTCTGTAGTTTCTGCTTCTGTTCCCACTCCCAGGTTCCTGCCTCAGGATAGACTATAATGCAGAAGTTGAAGCAGACATAAACCCTTCCTTAGGAAGTCAGTTTTGACTAGTGTTTTATCACAGCAAAGAGAAGCTAACTGGAGAAAGCTCACCACCACCATCACAACCACCATGCCTGGCTGGCCTACTGTGCTTAAAATACGGTGGCCTTCCCTCAGGTGTCTGCTTCCCAGTTTGCCTCTGCTACTTCCTTACTCTCCTGCTACTTCTTTCATCTTAGTAGACTTGCTCTTGTTTTCTGTTCTTGCTGCCTCCACATTCATCTCCTCCTCCGCATCCTTGTTTTTCCTATTCAATTTCTTATTTTCATTATCTACTTCCTCCCTCTACTTCCTCCCCTCAATTTGTTTTTTTCCTCTTCCATTTCCTTATCCCTGGTCCTCCATTTACACAGTACCCTCATTTTGCTATCTTTGGCTTCAATTTAGTACATTTACTTTATGATTGTTCCATTCTACTCCAAGAGTATCAGTCTGTAGTTGAAATAGATGTGTGACCCTTCCAGGGCCTTTGGAGCCACACACTAGAGTCTGACCTCACCTGTTTCTCCAAGAGCCCCTTTAGATAAACACAGGGTATCAGCTGTGAAATAGTGTCTCTCCCTCTACTCTGCTCTCTTTCTTTCCTTCTTACTGGGAAAAGACTAGAGCATTGCTGAGCCAAAGGCCTATTTTATCAATCCAGTTCTGGCTATGATGTAGCCATAGAAAACAGAGATCCTAAGACATGGATGGTGCCTTCATTTCCATCACTCTGCTGACAGAACACTGAGAAGTCCGAGGTCCTCACACCAGGTGCTTAAGCCGAATAGCAGAAGCCCAGCACCTATGGCTGAGCCCAGAGTGTTTCAGACTGAGACTGAGTCAAGCCTGGGTTGAGCTACATTGCCTGCCAGCTGTGGGCTAGTGACCTTACTTGCCAACTTGGAGAGAGGAGTCTGTGTGCCATATTTTCACCATCTATAAACTAAGATGATAAATGTCTTTGCTAAGGTTGGGGTAGAGCAAGTGAAGGAAAAGCTCAGTGTAAAGCAAACATGTCAGGAATGTGTGTCCTCAGGAAAGGAGAGCAGGAGGACATGCTGGCGTAAGGACAGCACAGCTTGGTTAGATCACTGTGGGAAAGCCCAACAAGGTAGTCATATGGGTAATCTCAGTGCTAGGGAGGCAGAGACAAGAGGATCCCTGGAGCCTAGAGAATCAGTTAATGAGCCTCACACCAATGAGGGACCCTCTCTTTGAAAACAAGGTGGACAGCTCCAGAGGAACACCCAGTGTTACCTCTGACTCACACTCATGCACACATTTACAGCTCTGGAGCAGTTCGTAGTTATTCTGTTAGTGTCGTTTTGGCAGTTTGAGCCAAAACTCATCTGGATAAATGAGTGACTAGATACTATTATTCATTTCAAAGAAAATTTTACTGGGCTGGTGAGATTTAAGCAAGTAAAAGGCATTTGATGATAAACCTAACAATCTGAATTTACTCTCCCAGACCCACATGATGGCAGGAGAAGGCCTGATTCGACAAGCTGGTAAACTGTCCTCTGACCTCCACAGATACACCACAGCATACACTCGAGCACACGCGCGCACACACACACAGATGCACATGAAAGGGGGTGGGACAGCAGCTAACAGTAGACTTTTCTGCTAAACTTAGGTCCTCTGAAACACTGGATGTAGCAACTTTCAGAACTCTGTCCTCTTGAGGTCCCTACCAGTCTCTTAATCCAAACTGACTATCCCCAGCACACCCCCTTAGGGATCATCCACCACAGTGAGTGCAGGAAGGTGAAAATGGCTGTTCCCTTTGACTAGTTGCAGAGGTAGGGGAAGAGGATTCTGCCAGCCCTTCCAGTCCATGCTTTGTGGCCTTGGAGGTATCAGATACATTCCTTACTTTAGATCACAGTCAACAGAGAGAGACAAAAGAGACTCCAGTGGCCGGAGCTAATGGTAAACTCACTGGCTGTATCAGCAGCCATTACTTGCCAGTTTATGGAGGAAAGAGGAAGCAGGTGGAAACAGGGCAGGAGGTATGGGGAATGCCTCCTCTTGAGATCACCCACTCCAGCCTCCAGTGCCTATAGCCATGTCAGCATGCTATTAAACCAGACAAGGGAAGGATGCTTTTATGCAAGTGACTCTAAGATCTTTGGAACTATCCAGGTGGCTGGCAAAGGGAAAGCTCCTTTCTCCTTCCAGGTTCTCTCTTCCTCTCAAACATATGGATGGCAGGTTTTATTTGTTGTTGAAATTTAGAAAAATGTTAAGTCCACAAAAGTTCGAGCTTGATAAATATGAATACATGACACTTCTGCAGAAGCACATTTGCCCCACCTCCATCTCTCTCATCTCCACCCTCCCTCAGCATCCAGGATGGGCTGCAGCCTGGGGAAGAGGTGGCAGCTCCCAGCTTCCTTTTTGTCCACTCAGCCTGCTGTGACCTGGTACTGAGGCTTGCAGCCTTTGGTCTGAGCTGCTAAATGTTCTCTCTCTTCTAAGCAGTAAGATAGACTGTGCTGATCAGGCCTCCCTGGAAAAAAAAAGCAGAAATAAATCAAACACCAGCTCCTACTTAAGATCTGATGAAATTCTTCATTTCCTCTCCAAATTGAATTCCTCCTGCAGGAAGGGAGCCACTCCTGGGAGTCACAAAGGCCTCCTTCCTTCTCTGCTGGCGGCATGTTTTAAATTAATGGATGAAACACTCTAATCTGGCTGGGTAGGTTGCATTAAAGTGCAGTAGAGAGAAAGTTTTCAGGCTGGGCTTGATACTTTGAGTGTCATAGGGCAAGCGTCAGGCATCTATTACTCTTGGCCTCTGTGCAGAAGTGCTCTCTACCACGCTGGTGGTGGTCTCCTGAAAAGGTGACAGGGTAGATGTACTGAGGCTGTGAACATTCTAGGCCTGCCTCTCTGTGGTGGGCCTTCCCTGGGCCTCTGTGGGAAGAGAGGGCCCAAGCATGGCCAGGCCTCCTACAAATCCACTCATACACTTTTGAACCTTGTAGCTTGAGCCAGGGTCAGCCGTCTGGTCTCTGCCCACGTGGCCATGGCTGTCACACTGGCCACTGGCCCCTTTCCAGGCAGGCTCATCCAGGAGCCTGTTTGGACAGTCTGAAGTTACTCTGTTTTGTTCTAGCTAAGGGGTACACTGCTGCCAGCAGGATGTCTGGAATGTTGTGGCTTTTCATGTAGCATCACATTTGGCAGAGAATGCCAGGTTGTGCTGTTTGTCTTTCTTGGTAAGGTGAAGAGAAGGTTGGCCCCTGTGCTGGGAGGTTCCCTGCATGCCTTCTTACATTTCTGTCTGAGCTCCTAATCTGCCCAACTCTTGGTGCTGTTGCACCGCACCCCTTTGTCCTCAATGTCTCAACCCTGCTTTTAATACATGGGGTTTCTGTGGGCTTTCTGGAAAGCCTGGCAGATGCTTTTTCATTTGCGTGCCTGCCCAACTATTAGTTCACATGAAAGCTGTCTATTTTGGCAGTCTTGACTCCTGAGACTGTAGTTTAGCTCTCTGAGCTGAATGGGTGATATTGTGCAAGGGAAATATAGCTGGGGTTTTTCTCTAATGGTAACTGTGGGGGTGGACCAAAAAATCTACATGCTGATGTCTTGGCCTGTACAGAACTGACATGATGGCAAACAAATGGCTTTTGAAAGAAGAAACTGGTATGTATAGTCCCTTACTTTGGGAGTTCTCAGAGCTCGCTTGTTTTAATTGATAGGTTTGTTTTTTTAAAGAAGAAATTCTTCATTAGGAAGAACATAAACAAATTCTAGATAAACACTAAGTGCCAAAGGTGTAAGCAAAGCAAAGATTCTGCTTGTCTCTCCTTTCTGACACCCACTTCCTTCCACTTCATCTAGGCAGTTTTAATCATGGCATTTGGAGTTACAGAAGAAGCTATGGAAAATGAGATTAGACAACTCCCCATCTGGTGCCAGCCCTGGGGCCACTTGCACCCCTGGGAGGGTTAGCACCCCACCTTCATTTTCATGGTTCTCTGGTCACATGAGTCTGTAAGGGCCTGCAGCTTGCATGGACAGGCCTGCAGCTTGCATGGACAGTCTTTGTTTTATAGACACAGGGCTCTTGTATGGGCTGCTCAGGAGTCTCCCTCCCAGGGCACCTGTTTGGTTGTTAATGCCACGGTCAGCTCTAGTGTGAAATGGAAGATTTTGGGTTGTATTCTTTTTGGCTTTTCCTGGCCTTCCGCATGACTTCCTGATTTGCCTGTGAGCTGCTAGGATTTTTTGACTGAACAATCTTCTTTGATCACTCTCTTGACAGCATGGACTTCACATTCTCACACCTGTCCTTCGTTTACAGTCCAGATTTCATAGTAAATCTTTCCATTGCCTTGTAATTTTTTTCAGGATAAAACTTGGTGCAGGTTACTTATTACAAGTAATAGCAGCTTGATGACGAGCACAACTGCTGGCAGAAAAGCAACCTGAACAGCTGCCAGAAACGTAAACTGCCACTTGATTTAGATCTAAAAGCATCGCAGCCACATCTATCCATCATGATCTGGCATGCACACAGTAATAACAGACTTTGTGGGCTAAGAAAGCCGCCCTACTGAGTAGCCACAAGGGTGTGTGCTAACAGGACTCCACATGTTTTCTCTCCCACTGCCTGCAGCCCACACATCATCTTCCTCTCTCAGAGCACCTTAACAAGCATGAGCCATCTCTGTGGGACCCGTCTTTGTCATGAAATTGCTCATGCCTGGTTTGGCCTAGTCATCGGGGCCCGAGACTGGACAGAGGAGTGGCTCAGTGAAGGGTTCGCCACTCACTTGGAAGACATATTTTGGGCTGAAGCTCAGCAGGTGAGTTCAAAGAATTCCTCTACCCAGAATCAAGTTCTGTTCTCATTCATTCATTCATTCATTCATTCATTCATTCATTCATTCATTCGTTCATTCAATAGGTATATGTTGAGTGCACTAAGTACTGTGTTTGCTGGGTAAATTACTGTAAAAAGACGATTCCCTTCAAGTACACAATCTAGAGATAGGGGGAACAGATAAACAAAAGAAACAGCAATGTGCTAAGTATTATGAGGAGAGGTGAGTCCCACACACAGTGGAGGGAAGCTATTTTGTCCATGGAGTCAGAGAAGACTGCTGTTACGGACATATTGAGCAGAGGCATGAAGGAGGTCAGGCTCCTACACAGCGTAATACCCCTGTGTTAAACATTAGCTGCGGGTGTGCTGTTTTGTCTTGAGACAGGGTCTTTCTCTGCAGCCCCAACTGGCCTGGATCTCACTGTATAGATCAGGCTAGGCTTGAGCTTGTGGGAGTACTCCTTCCTACCTGTGAGCTCTTTAAATAATCAGATTCTAATATTAAGCAGCACTGGGCGTGACTTATACCTGGAATCTCAGCACTTGTGAGGCTGAGGCAGGAAGATGGACAAGACTTGGAAGCCAGCTCAGTCTTCGTAAGTTCCAGATCAGCCAGGGCTAGATAACAAGACCTGACTCAACCTCCTTCCCTAAAAAGAGAATGAAAATCAGGAGTGATCGCTCTGGAGGAAAGATAAGGCATCTGATGTTGTAGATTAGGTGGAGTGACAGCTGGGCTCTGCCCCCAACAGTCAGGGGTCGTGTTTTAAGGGAAGGTCAGTGTGGCTGGAATTGTAGGGAACTCAGTATTTCTGGATTCTCACGTGATGCTCACTAATGGATGCAAAAAATGTGTGAATGAGCTGAACACTAATTCAGCTATAAACCAGGTGTGGTGGCTCACACTTGCATTTAGTGTGTGGGAGCTTGAGTAAGAGTATTGCCACATCTTTGAAGGCACCCTGGGCTATGTAGTAAGCTCCAGGCCAGCCTCAGCTTGACTGATACTCTGTCGTAAAACACAAAAAGAATTTTTTTTTCCAAGTGTACAAATCAAGGGCTGAGAATGTGGCACAGTGGTCATTCATCTGTTTATCCTATAGGCTTTAGGTTGAACCTATAGGTTCAAGAGCTAAGAATGTTTACTCCGTGGTCGTGCCTCTGCTTAGCCTACAGGCTTGGGTTCAACCCTTTAGAATGAAAAGCACCAATCAAACATCATCTCACTGCCTCCACTTTAACCTTGACCACTAGTTCTCCTGAGCATGTGACTGCAGAACTATTTCCTACCTTCTCTCTACTTCCTGATCCTCGGGCCACTTCTTTTCTGCCTGGTCTCTCCACTCTTGCCATCCTGGGATTCTTGGCTTTTTTCTAAAACTCTCAAGTTTGTTTGTACTTTTTGATTTTGTTCAAGAACATTATGCCTGGTGAAATCTTTGTGTTTCAGTGGCCAGCTTGGGGTCCCATCTCTGAAGCCCACACTCCCCAGTACAGCTCTCCTGGGCTCTGAAGTCCTGTTGCTTCTGCTGTGTGTTTTCCTCCCTCACTACAGAGACAGTGTCCTCACACAGTGATGCTATGGTTCACTTGTTCTCTTGTCCTCTGCCCACAGGGAACCAGCAGGTACCAGTCTGTGTACCCTGTTCCAGCGCTACCCAATTGATTAGCAGAGAGGCTAGACTCTGAGCTGAAGAGTGCTGAGCTTCAGCTCTCAGGTTCACTAGCTTCCTGAATACTTGGACCTCGGTGTACCCGTTGGGGAAATAGGTGTAAAAAGACTCAGGTTCACAAGGTGGATGCAAAAAATGTGTGAATGAGCTGAACACATCCTAGACTCATGGAAGCCTGTTCTCTTCTACCCTGTCCCCACTGGCATTCTGCAAAGGGTGAATATCAGTCTGCCCTGTCTTCATCACTCCTCTGGCTAGTTCGCATCTGAGACATGCACACTGTCAACTTCTGAGTTCATTTCAGCCATGCCATAGTGTCTCTGACTTCATTTTAAAAAAAAAGAAATGCCTCTTTTATCACATGCCCTACCTGTGTTTGGTTCCTGCCTCTGTCCTGAGCATGTCCCTACTACATGTTTAACATGTGGGACCAAAAGGAGACAGCTAAGAGAAGCACTCCATGGAAGGAGAGAGAGAAAGACCAAAATAAAGAGCAAGTGAACATCAGGTACTATACATTCAGAAGTGGGAGAGGCCAGAAAGCATTGTGAAGAAAGTGCCTTCTGTTATAGCTTTGGAGAAAGCAAAGGCTGGGCTTTCTCCACTACTTCTGTCTCCATAACCTTCTACAGGCATCATGTCATACCACCTTCCCTAGTACACGTAGTAGCTTCAACATTCAAGAACGCCAACACCCCTGAGTGGACAATTTTCTAGAGTCCTCTGTAGATTTTGGGATGGTTTCTGGAGTACACCCATAATTCTAATCCTGTCCTCCAAGGACTAGCCTGATAAATATCCCTTTCAGGTCTTCCTGCAGAAGGAGCCATAAGGGCCAAGGGTGGTACAGTTCTCTGGGATGCAGCAGCTGCAGTGGAGAAGAGGGTGGCAGAATGCATAGGTGATTGTGGCCACATAGAGACATGTACTGTAGCACTAAACCCACTAAGTGCATAGCAAGTTTTATATGATGTCACAGAGAGGAGGAAGCTTCAGCCTCTTAGCCTTGGGGAGAAGTGAATTGTTGAGTTGCCAAGTTGCATGGTATAGAACCGTCACTGACTGGATAAAGTCTGTGTTCCTTCCACATCTATGTTATTCTGCTTGGGCAGCCATAATTGAACTCCAGAAGTTGTGGCTTACAGAACAGCTCAAGAAGCTGACAGGAGGTCCAGGTTCCAGGAACCAACAAGACTGGTTATCTATGCTGGCTTCTTGTCCTGGCTCCCCAGTGATAGTCTCCTCACTTTAGTCTCACGTGATCATTCTTCCACACTTGAGAGAGGGACAGAGCTCTGGTGTCTGGCCTCAGTGGGAGAGAAGGTTCTTAGTCCTGCTGTGACTTGATGTGCCAGGGTGGGTTTGGTACCCCTTGTGGGGGCATCCCCTTCGCTGAGAAGAAGAGGGAGGAATGGGGGGAGAAGAGAAGGGAGTTCTGGGATCAGGCTGTAAAGCTGTTGAATGAATAATAAAAGAAAAAGAAAAAGACCACAGCCCTAAAGGTTCTACTCTGATAGCTTCATTTAACCATTATCACCTTTTGGAAGGTCTCATCTCCAAATACTACATGGACAGTAAGCTCACATTTTTATGTACATATCTTGCGGAGCAGTCTACTGATCTTCTGGCAACTCTGCCCTCCTCTCCTGGCTGTCTGCTCCCAACCTGTCCATATCCCTCACCATTTTCTAAGAACATCATTTTTTCCAAGCCAGTGACACTGTCACTCCTTGAAGTTTCTGTCTTGCAAGCTCAGGCATCACCACCTACCTGGGGAGGCCTTCTGGCTTCTTGCTTGAGCTGCACATTGGCCCAGTCTGATACTAGTGCCCTCACATGGTCACATGGTCGTACAGGCTTCCAGCCTGACCCAGGACCTACACAGATTTGGCAAGTGCATTAGAAAGAACAGTAACTTCCAGAAATGTCTGTAGATCCCAAATGTTTCCCTCCATGCAGGTACTCTACTGCCTGCCTCCTCTTATGCAGACCCTAGCCATGTGGCCTTGTGAGCACATCCATGTGATAGCAGCCAGTTCCGACTCTACAGCAGTGCCTCCAAATTGAGTCCAGACAGTATACTTTTTTCTGGATCTTTGCAAAAGAGTCATCTGGATTACATTAGCAGGCTCCACTATAAACAGTTCTTGACAAAATTGAGGGGTGGGAAAAATAAGAGGTGAGTGGAGGGGCCTTTCCCCTCCCAATGCAGAAATACAAGGCAGGGAAGGAAGGCTGGATAGAGTCAAAGGAGAATGGCCTGTGGGAAAGCCCCCTTTTCAGGTGTGTATTCTGTGTCTACAGTGGTTTCCAGGACCAGGGACCCAAAAGACAGGGCTTTTACAGTGCTTAGCTGCTGCTCCTTTGAAGAACTCAAGAGGATCAGTTAGTCCTCTTCTGATGGAAAGCAAGGAAGGGGCAGGCCCAGTTGTCCCTTCCTAAAACAAGTCTGTTGATGAGGAAACCTTGACCATCACAATGACTCTGCACATGTGTTTATGTGTCTGTGTTCCCTGCAGCTACCCCCACATGAGGCCCTGGAGCAACAAGAGCTGAGGGCTTGCCTGCACTGGCATCGCCTGCAGGATGAGCTTCGGAACTCCCCAGAGGAAATGCAGGTGTTAAGGTAAGATGCCAGTGCTTCCCACCTCCCACCCTCTCTGCCTTACAGTTTCCTTTTAAAATCAATCAGGGCTTGGGCTCTTCACCTTCCCGCCATGATTGCTATGTTTTAAGTCTGAAGGTATGGGTTTTGATTTGCCTTTTGACATTTTCCTAATGTCACTCTTCGGGGGGGGGGGGGGAACTAGCATGAGGCCATTTCCAAAACTAAATTCTCCATTTGAAGTTACTAGTTAATAGTCATTTTATGTGGTGACTGTAGACTTGAAGAAGGTTAGGGTTTGACAGTTTGGCAGACAATAGCCCTTTAAAGCCAAAGAGGGGGAAATCTCTAAGAAAATATAGAGATATTCGTGTATAGTAGTAACAGATGTGCATGTCAATGGGGCCTTTTGTTCAGTTGTTGCCCAGCAGGAAACCATTCCTGCTCCTGGTTGGTGTCTTCAGAGTGCACATGGCACTTGTAAGATTACTTCTTGCCATTCTTTTCAGTTCTGTCCTCTCTCCCTTGGTGCTCTTGGGCCATAAATACTTACCTGAAGCCTCTTGCCTAGGCCCCAGGAGCACCAAGTTTGCTATGACATCAGAAGCTTCCATCCAGCCCCTGTTGAGAATCAATAAAATCTAAAAGGATGGCCCATCAATGGCAAGTGTGGCCAATCTAGGGATTACCTCTTTCTCAACCCATTGTATATGACATCTTGATGGCTACTTTATCCCTCGGACAAGGCCCTGCCTTGGGCACTTCTGTTGTGGTTGTTGTTTCCTTCTAAATAAGCATCTCCTCCCCGCCCTGCCCCTTGTGCAGAGCCTGAAACATGCTGGGAGGCAAAACCAGAGCAGAAACAGACCAAGCCTGCTAGACCCTAGGGAGCAAGGCTGGCTGGTCTTTTGTGTAGCACTGCCCTTACTGTGGCAGGCTCCCTGCCTGCTCACTAACTGTGCCCTCTGAAGTTGACTCATCCATTGTTTAGGAGGAACAGCTAGAACAAAAGCCAGGAGTTCTGCCATCCCTCCCAGGGTCACTGTGCCTGTATCTTTTTTCTCAACCAACCTCTGGGGAGCCAGCCACCATGGCTGTGCCTGTAGTGTGAGCACGATGCCTGCTCTCAAGGAGCTTCCGCTTAGCAGGAACAGTGTTACATGCTCAGGCCCATCACAGGAGGTACACAGCAATGTAACAGGTTCAGTCATGATTTTTGAACTGACTGGAGGGCATCAAGACTGAGCTAGGCCTGTGTTCAGCTTGGTAGGGTGAGGAGCACACAGGCTTTGAGGCTGAGAAGAGCTTTGTTGTACCTTGGGAACAAAAATGGCAGAGCCATGATCAAGAAAGGCTTTATCTCACATTCTTCAGAAGCTAGCTAGTCTTTGGTACGCAAGGGTATTGAGCAGGCTGATGTTTCCTGTGTAGAAGGGCAGAGAACAGAGAGCAGAGGTGAAGTGCCAAGGGAGGGTCTGGTGGAGCAGTGAGCTGTTGGATGTGAATTTTAGAGACACAGACAGCAGATTCTTATTGAGTGGAATGTGGAGACAAGGGCAATGAAGGTACCTAGAATGACTGGGGCTTTGAGCTGGGTGCTTGGGAAAGTGGTGATGGCATTTATTTAAATGGAAGAACAGGTATTAAATAAAGATTCTGTTTTTGCATATGCTGACTTTGAGCTGTTGAATAGATAGGAAGTCAATGGAAGGCAGGGGCTTATTGGTAACAGGGCATTCAGCCTGAACAATACTCATATAAACACACTCCAGTCACCCAGGACAGGAAGGAGCAAGAAAAGGTGTCAAATGATCTAGCAAAGGATCCTGGGTAAACTGCTGCACATGTGGGGGAAACTGGGATATCCGGGTCATAAAAAAAAAAAAAAAAAAAAAAAAAAGGTGAAGATGTTGAGAGTGGTTCATGTTGGATGCCAGTAGGAAATACGACCTTTAGACAGAACTGTGTGAGAGTGGCAGTGGCCTGGATTCCATGTTTGTTTAAGTAAAGTGGAGAGGGTAGCCAAAGGGAGGTATGAAGAGTGATTCCCAGGAGCAGAATTGGCCATATCAGCTCAGGAAGTATCACTGTGGAAGGAATGTGAAGATCTTGCCACAAGCTAAAAGAAAGCTGCATGAACTGTAAACTCTTCATCCACAGATTCAGTTTCTCCATGTTTAAGTCCCTTGATGGCTCTGCTTCTGCATGGGCATGGCCCTTGGGTGTGTAGAAGGTTATCAGTATCATTGTGACTGACTAGGTCTCCAGCTGTTAAATGAAAGTCACTTCCCAACCCCATCCTCTGTGGAGCTGTGGTCAGCCCACGTGTAGGTAGCCAAGGCTTTTTCATAGTGATAGGGGTTGGGAGTATTTTGGATATTTAAATTAGAAGGTTTATTGTGGCTTTTATTTATTTTTCTTTGTCTTAATATTCAGAAACTGTGTTGGTCTACATTTATGCATACTGAAAACAATGCATTTGAAGGGCCCTTTGCAGACAGAAACAGAGAACAGTCATCAGTTCCATATGTACTGAGGACAAATTATTTGATTAGGTTCAACTTACTCCTGTCCCCTGGAGTTCTCCCTAAAGTAGGTCCAGAGAACCTCAAGTTGCTGACATGGAAAAGAGAAAGGGCATACCAACTTGTTTCTAAGACTGTATTTTAATATGACAATGACCCTGAGAAAGAACTCCTTTAAAACAAGAGAGTGATCAAAGATAGTGCCTTTGCTACTCCACCATCTTGAAAGATGGACTGAGAGTTGTGTGAGCCTCTGACAAAAGCTGTGCCACAGCTGCCAAAGAAAACAGCATTTTGCTGGTTATAAATAATAGAATATTATAAAGTAATAAGAGACAAACCAAAAATTTGAGATTTTATTTTGTCATTACTACATGCACATACACAAATGTCGTTGTGTATATGCTACTGTGTCATACTCCAACATTTAAAATAAATCAGCACTCAGGGAGGCAGAGGCAGGTGGATCTCTGTGAGTTTGAGGCCAGCGTGGTCTACAAGTCCAGGGCAGCCAAGATATACAGAGAGACCCTGTCTGGAAAAAACCCCAAATATATATTTGTAATCTGGAGTTTCATTAAGTGTCCCTGGCTTCCCTTGAACTGTGACCCCCTGCCTTCACTTCTAAAGTGCTCCATTTACCTCTGCATATCACTATCCCAGCTATTTGCACCCTCTGTACTCCTAACATTGGATCACACAGCTTATCCTGTGTGTCTTACATTGACTGTTGTTTGATTTCATCAGATGAGTCTTCAACTGAATTCACCATGAGTTTTGTTTGGGCTCCAACAGTTTCCTTCCTGCCTCTAAGGTGGCTATGCTCTGGAAGCATCATCACTTGCTCTGAGGAGTCATATTGCTAAGTCCATGCTCACGTACTTGTCAGCTGTGAAGGGTCTTTTCCATAGCTGAGACACCAGTGGCTCTCTCATACTCTAACCAGTCTGCCAACCCTAGACAGAATTGCCAAGCGAAGTCCAATTTTTTATTTTCTTTCAGTTAGGCAGTGTAGCACTAGCCAGGTGCTAGGGGACTGCTGCAAGACCCCCAGTCCCTCAACTCTCGGTACAGCTGGATCAGGAATCTTCTCAAGAGCTTTTAGTTAACATTTTTGACAGGCCACAAGGTACACAAGCTACAAGCCAGGGTCAGAAGAAACCTCTGTTTTGGGATTTGTTGTTGTTGGTTTTGTTGTTGTTGTCTGTGATTTATTGCTGCTACTTATTTTGGGATTCATTCTTAAAAGTCATGCTCAAGCTGAGAAGGCAGAAGCTCGATGGAGCTGTTTGCTGAGCTGCGGCTTCCATAGCTGCTACAGTGCTGTATAAATGTAGGCACACTGTTCACCTTCATGTGAATGCCTCACCCAGAGGCCACAAAAACATCATCCCTTGATAATGAGGTGGGAAGCACATTCATAATTCTGTCCAGAGCTAAAGTGCAAGCCATCTGCAAATCTGCATGGTGCCTTAGTTCCCAGCTTCTAATCTGAAGCCATAGGGCATGCTCATGAACACTTTTCTCATGTAAGCTTTCATTCTCCTGGAACTTTTCACCACTCAAATTTTCTCAAAATTGGTATTTCTAATTTCTGAAGAATATGGTGGTTTTTTCCTGGTGTATATGGATATATCAGTTGGCAATGACACAGACCAGCCTGAGAAACGCCTCTTAAGAGCCCTTGGCTGCAGTTGGCAGTGATACAAGCCAGCCTCAGAAAGCCTCTCCCCACCCGCCAATAACCTCTGGGTGCTGTTTAAGGTGGTGATATGCCTTCCTGATGGCCCTCCCTTCAGCAGTATGAGTGTGGCTGGGGCTAGAAGACACTCTTTCCTCCATTGGTGGCTTCCCTTCTTTCCAGCATTGATTCCAAGCCAGCCTCACTCTCCCTTCTCTTGCTCCCTACCCAGTAGGAAACCTGAATCAGCAGTTACATTCTTGCTTGACCCTGAAGCAGCTCTCAGTCCATATCTGCCCTGACCTCCCACAAGCCCATGCTTCATCCTGTCTGCTTTGGTGAGCTACTTCTAGGAGAAGATTGAGGATGAGTACATCTTGACCAATGACAGAAGCTCTGTGCTCCCAAGGACCCCTAGGAGGAAGGGAAGGAAGTTCTGGACATGAATGGGGGAAGGAAGTTGTCATCACTTTGGAATATGGACTGAGCACCATTTATCCTTCCAGAGAGGACATGGCTCCTAACAGGAAGAGCAGTGGTGACACAGTCTAGAACAGCTGTCCAGACACCATACTTTGCAGAGACCACCGTGTAGCCCCTTTGTATGGGGAGTATAAACTGGGAAGTCTTGCTGCTTATCATGAAGGGCAGGGACCCTTTAATTACTCTGACAGAAGCCAGCCTTATCCTTATATTTCAATACAGTACCTAGTAAATTTACCTGAATTTAATTTTTGCTTTGTTTGTGTGCTGGCTAGTTTATGTCAACTTGACACAAGCTAAAGACATTTTGGAAAAAGGAATCTCAGCTAAAT